AAATTAAGACAAGATAGGATGTAGAAGTTTAGGCTATGAGTATTAAATAATTTTAAATTTGAACAGTGTTCATCACTGTTTCCACAAAATTGTATTTGGGTCACAGAACAGAACCCTCGTAGGAGAAGTTTGTTTTTTAACTTGGAGGTCTAATCAAAAAAGTAGTCTTATGAAAAAATGGTTGCTCGGCTCGGGCTTTCAGATCGAATCCGAGTCGTGACGCGTTTACGGACCAACTACCAAGCTACAGTGATAAGTCATTGGGTCGGAGATAACCCCGCTCCAGCCTAACACTGTTTTGAGAGTCCAGAGATTATCGAAACTACGCATAAATGTCGCTGAGCCACTCGATTTCGAGCTTGCGCCTGGGATTCATGCCCCAAAATTGGGATCTGTCTCCGATTCGGATTCGGTTTCTGGTGCTCCAGATCGGTGACTACTTTGGCTCTAAGATATAGGTTGCAGGCTGTACCCAGTCCCGATTCCAGTCCAAGTCCCAGTCCCAGTCCAAGACCCTCGATACGGAGCACAAAGAAGACATCAAATGAAAAGCGTTCGCTGAGTGGCAAAGAGAGTGGGCGACGAGAGATCGTAAAGCGAACCACATAGTTCAGTTCGGATGCAGATACAGCTACAGATACGTACACTTATTTTGGATTACAAATAGAATACGACCGTTGCCAGAGCATACGTTAATACGTCTGTCTGTGTGTGCGTATGTGTGTGTGTGTCTGTGTGTTTGTGTGTGTACGGTATATGTATGTACTAAAAATTAAAAATACCGGTGGGGCCGTGAGTAAAATTTGTACGGCCACCAGCACCATCACCACCACCACCCAACCCCAATCCAATTCCAATTCCAATTCCGATTCCGATTCCGAATCTAAATCCGAATCCGAATCCAATTCCAAAGAGAGTGAGGCGTTTTGGTTACCACTACAGATTTCGTGCGATCGGTGATCGGTGATCGTTGATCGGATCGCTCGACACGTGAGTCAGGCAAACTAATCAATGAAAATCGGCAAACTTTCGAGCGGGAACGGGATGTCAAAGGTGGCGAGCAAATCCAAAATCCAAATAACGACGGCCCAACGTAATTCGTCTTTGCTTATACCATAAACATTCGCCGGAACGGGATCGACGGCAGTGCATATATCTGCATGTGCTTAGAAGCACCCAATGCATACACAAATATATGGATGAAAATCGGTTGGGGCTTTGCGCTGGCTAAGTTGTGGGTAAAACCGCTGCATTTGGGATTTTACAAAAAAAAAAAAAAAAAAAAAAAAAAACAGTTGCTTACGAAAAATACCCAATATATTTCATCAGTTGTGATTGCTAACGTAAAAATACAGCCTCTTTTTTGCAGATGGTTTTATGGGTGTAAGCACGGATTCTATTTTTTCAAGATCACTGTATTTCCTCTGTATTTAAACAAAATCGTCTTGAGGTTTTTGGGGACATGTAATATCTTCCTTGCTAAAATTCTTTCATAACCAGATGCATTTTTCGAGTTCGCGACAATAAGGTTCCTCGTTCAGGTGTTTTATTTACTACAGCTTATATGAGGAAGAAAGCTTACTATGCTAACTAAAACGTCAGGAAAAAATCTTTAAAAACAGTGGCCATTTACCAACAGGCCCAGGATATTCTTAGTCACAAAAGAGGGTAATATCGACCATTTTAAGATGTGAAACAATCTTTGCTTATTTATTGTTACCAGCCATCCACATTGAGTTCAACAACCCATCACACCATCCCCACAGAAGGGGCACACGCATCGTAACGCATGTAAAGTTCCCCCATTTCGGCCGAGCCAAGTGTTATTGTCGTTGGCATCGTTTCGGACCCGTGGTAGCATACTGTTTGTGGGCCCTAGCCTACGGTTCTTAATACGCCGCTTTAAAAATAGCAACTATAAATCTTATGTACTCTCGTTGCTGCTGTCATTGGCAAAAAAACGTTCGTTAAACGTTCCCCGCTGATCTCGAGAGGAGATCTGGTTGCTGCTGTTGTACTGTTGTACTGTTTTACTGTTGTACTGTGTAAAAGCATCGCATCCAATCCCATGTAAATCGGCCACATGCACTCACTCATCCGAACATCTGTCAGTCCATGCAAACACTTAACAAAATCAACCAAACGCGTTATATATTGTGCAGGATATGAATAAGCCCACTTTTATAGGTATTAAAAAATAACAAAATTACTTTCACTTGTACACCATTGTATTGGTTGTAAAATTATAATTATTGTTATTGTATACCCTTAAAGAGCTCATATTAATATTAATATTACTTCAGCAAATTTCGCATTTTTTTGCGTAATATAGAACAAAAGGGTTTTCTTGCGATTCAAAATTTGTTTTCTATTTAAATATGTTAAGCAATTAGGAATATTACATATCCACGTTTGGTAAATATGTATTGAAAAGAGTTTTTAAAATGTTTCGCAACACAGATTGTTTATTCTAAGATTTAATAAATTTCAGCTATCCAATGGGTGTTGTCGTTTTTTAACTATTTCATTTAGTGTATCTCTAATTTAATGAACTCGAATGAGCAAAGGAAAACTGTCAATATAAAATGGAATGGAAAACTACATATTATAATTCTACATTTAATATAGTTTTAAAAATTCTATACTTATTTACCTAAGATCTTTTTGCACGATCATTTATATTCAATCTTTATAATTCCCAATTAATTGTTCTCTGAACCCAAGGCATCAATCCATTGCTTATCCAAATTATTTTTTTGATTTTATTCCAAGTGTACACACATGTTCCCATGCACACATATCACTGTGGTGCAGGGAAACTATCGAAACTAATGTTACTTAAGTTGCTATAGGGGGAGGATAGATCTTACAATCCACGCTGAAGATCACCGGACCCAAAAAAAGAAACAGATTCGAATTCAGAAACAGAAACAGATACAGATACAGATACAGATACAGGCATACCATAACGATTCGGATGCACATACAGACGTACAGATTATACGATCGTGACGCCAGCGGAGGAAATTTCGAGCTCGGGGAACGGGGGCGGGATGGGATGGGATGGGATGGACAGCAACTACAGAACGGAGCGTAAGCAATGTTAACGAGTAAAAATCAAGAAAATTTTAGTTCTAAAAATAACCCTTGTACTCATTTTTGTTTCAAAACGGAAAGAAAAGCGGCAGCAAGCAAACGACCAAAAACCAATAGCTATAAAGCGCAAAGATACTGAGATACTTGCACTATGGGCAACGTCCCGAGATACAGACGTACAGATACTCAGATATAGACATACGGCTACACAGATGAGCATGAGTCGCCGGCCACGGATTCTTGGCAATGCCATTGGGGGTAAAACATACTGCTTTACATAGGTATGCCATGGGTATTGTTCTTGGAATTCAATTTGTAACGTTTTAAAAAATATTTCAAACTATGTACATACATGCCGAATGCAAGTGCCTCGGCTATAGGATTCTTGGTACACAATTAATACAATAAGAAATTCACTGTACCTTTGCTTCAAGAGCAGTCTGTATTGTTGTTATTGTTCTTAGCTAATTCAAGGAGCTTACATATTATGCATTTATTTGCGCAAATATAATGGTGCATTTATTTAAATCCCTTAAGACTGAAAGATTTCAAACTATGATACATGTATATTGCGATTGACTAGGCAATAAGATTCTTGGTACACAATTAATGTGATTGACTTATGTAAAAATGCAACCAACAAGAAATTAACCATACAAATATCTTTGCATTAAAAACACCATTAAAAAAATTCGACAGCATTTTTGGGTTCAATGAGTGCATATTAAAAAAATCAAGCGTGTATGTATTTATCCGTATATCATTATAGTAATTTGTGGGGACCGTTTGAATATTTTCATAATTGGATGACTGTATTTGATATATATATATATATATATATATATATATATATATGCCAATATATTCATCATAGACTTTGTATTAGAAATATTGGACTAATAGACTAATCTTCTTTAATGTAGAAAAATCATAATCACATCTTGATCTGCTATTGCTGTTAGTTAGTTGATAAGCCATAATCTTCGCATTCCAATTAAATTCCGGGAAAAGCTCCCAAATAGCCTTTTAATGGAGCATATATTTTTCCGTAATGAGCTTAAAAGGTTTTTATATTTTTTAGTTGTATTACAACGTCATTTATTATTTATTAAAATTTATGTCTTACAAATCTGTTATTATATGGCATATTTTTGCTTGGGTGTGAAAAGTTTTGAAGTTTTAAAAGGCAAAGCTACTAAGCGTCCATGAGCTTTGCAGTTTTAATTTAAAAGGCTGGAATCAGTCTCAATATATGTTCTAAAAATTATCGCACTGATATCATTATTTGAATTTTGCTTTCTGCAAAAAGTCTTATAGCTCTATTGGATTATTATAAGAATGAGAATTCTTTTCAAAGACAACGAGCTTATGCCGGATCCTGTGCAATCCTGGGAACCCAAAACCCTTCAGATAGGGGCGCCATCTAGTGGCACAAGCACGCGATTATCCCTTCTGATGGGCGAGCTTTTGGCAGCTTTAATTCTGATGGCATTTGGGCGACACTGACGATGGGGACTGGCTTAAGGCCATAGCTAGTGGATTGTGGGTGGTGGGTGGCAGGCAAGTGTGTAACAGCAAACGGCAAACAGCAGTTAACAGGTGCGCACACATATGCTGCCCGTCCCGTTACACAATTCCGATAAAAGCGGCGCGGCGCCTCTGGGGAGTATGTGTATTTGCATACCCTTGAGCGTCTCTCTGCCAACACACACACACACACGTACACACACATATATGATGGTGCTGGAGCGCGGAGAGGAGAGGGGGTTGCGTCTGCGCGCTCGCTGCTTGCACTTTCCGTTGCCTACTTTCGTGAGTGTGGGGGGTGGAGAGTGAAAGAGCAAGAGAGCGAAGGTGTCTTGTGTGAGTGTGCGTTTGTGAGATGAGAGGGAGTGAAATCGAAACCGAAAGTCGAGTAACGGTAACTTGTAGCTTTGGAAGGACAACTCTGTTATAGATACAAGAAACTTCTTGTTCGCGGCCACGCTGGCGTTGCCAGATAGCCGCCATTCGTATTCGTCCTGCCAACCTCGCCGTTCGCCGTTCGCCATTCGCCATTCGTCATTCGCCGCTTCGCACGCATGTAATGTTGTAGGACAAAAGCTCCTGCAGAAGGAGCCACGGAAAGGAAAGGAAAGGCCACACTACTCGCCTGGCTCTACACAAAAAAGTGATACACACGGAAAAATCGCTGGCATTCAGTCACCGTATACCGAGGCGAGAAGCGCGTCGCGTCCGCCTGCGAGAAGAAACGTGGCCGAGAAACGGTGACCAGGACAGGATAGTTATAATTTATATTCACTGCAAGTCCCAGTCCCTGACAAGACGGTAGCATTTGACTTTTTGTTTGTGTGATGTGCTGTGCTCTGCTGTGCTATGGTGTCCCTGTACGTGCAACGGTGAAGGGATAACGATAACGATATAGTATAGTATATACACACACAAGTGCGCGAGTGTGCGTGTGTGTTTGGGGCCACGTGAAGGCTAAGGCGCGCAACAACAGGAGCGGTTGGGATAGAGATAGAGATAGAGAAAGTGACAGTGACAGTGCTGGCGAAAAACCGAAAGTGAAAATTGAATACGAGCGTGCGACAGAAACAACGGGCGCGGATCCTTCAGCCGTAAACTGTTGAATATAGAATGACGTTGCTGACCAAAATCAATGTGAAGCACAAAGAAGCAACAGCAGTTGTAACTGTAACAACAGCCAGGATCCCCAGTCTGCGTTGCTCCCTCAGCTAAAGATAAGGATAAGGATAGTAAGTGCGAGCGAGTGAGAGAGTCAGCGAGCGAGCGAGAAAAAGGCACTAGCACTTGAAGGACCCTTTGTGCGAAGGCAGCGCATTCAAGTGCAACAATCGCCGAATTCCTTTGCAACACAGGACACCCACCGCCCTACCCCCGCTGCGCCCCCGGAAAGAGCGCTGTCCTTTTTGGTAATAACTGTTGACGCCAGATACAAAGCGAAATGAAGCCGTCGGATTTGTTGTTGGTGCTAGAGAAGGTAAGCGACACAAGCCGAAAAAAGACCAAAAGAAACCAAAAACAAACAAACCCCCCCCCCACCCTCCTCCGTCCGTAAAATAGGCTGAAAAGTGTATTTTTATTTCTTCACTGAATCTGACACAGAGTTTTGGTCACTGCTAAAATTGGAGCCCCCTCATCTACTCACACACTCCCACTCCCACACACACACACACACACGCACACACACACACCGTGTGCGTGTGTTAATGGGGCTCCGTTGTAATGGTATGTCTCAAAAAGGTCATTATGATGCCGAACGCCGACGCACACACTCACACAGCCAGTTACACAGGCAACGGCATGTGTGTGCGTGTGGTGTGGCGTGGACTTATGCAAATCCATTTGACAACGAAGAAGCTCGCCAACCAACCAACCAACCAACCAACCAACCAAGCAACCAACCACCCACCCACCCACTAACCCACACAAGTACACGGACGAGCAAGTCATCGACGAACGAGCATAGACGTGGCAAGTACGACTACACTTTCACCGAGCTTCAATGCCAAAGCATAAAAACAACAAAAAATCCGAAAAAAAAATATATATACATACATATATATACAACCAAATACTCACCCACCCACCCGCAACCACCAGTTCTAGTGCTAAAGGGATGGCCACGAAAGGGGCCACATTTTTGGCTCGGCGTTATCTTTATTGCCACTTCTGTTGCGCTGGCTCTTTACAGCCGCAGCTGTAATTGGAGCCGCTTGTCTCTAGACCAAATCCCCAGTTCGACTGCCTTTCCACGGCCTTTCCATCCAATCCGAAATCGCACTCCCAGAAGCATGTGTTTTTTTTTTTGGGCCAGGATTAGGTGCGAGCGGGATGGCCATAGGCGGAGGAGCTTTGTTATGACAATATCACTCATACGCAGTGTGTGGCTGGCTGCAAGACGAGCTTAGCCGCCCGGAAAGTATGCTATACTGCCACACAGAGAACAATGATTTGCAATATCAGCTCCACGCGTGACCATCTCTATGTTGCGAAATCGAAAGTTATTAATTACCAAGAATATTTGCGCTTATTTTTTTTATTAAGCCCGGGTCTCGCGCCAGAATGCAAAAGTGCTAACGGCTACCGTTGAAAATGGTTTGGGTTGTCTTATTTGAAAGTGAGGTATTGTGATAAGATCAAAATTTGTTATACTTAAGTTTATATTTTATTAATATAAAATTTGATAAAATAAATTTAAAAAATATATAATTTTTTGTAGCTTACGTTTACAAGGGAATTTTAAGCTTCATATTTACTTACTTATGTGTTTATTAAATAATAGCTAAAAATAGTTATCATTAACATCAACATTATTATTAATATTAATTGTAAATACGTACTACTGGGTGGAATCGAACACCTTACTTTAGTTAATTATGTTTATATTTAAATAATTTTAGTATTTGTTTACGAAATAATGAACATGTAAGCTAAGTTCTACGTCGCTTTCCGCTGGCTCAACCTTAATGTCTTTTAACACTTTAAAAAATATTCCCCACAATTTTAATGTTTATTGGGTAGTTTTTCTGTCTCTGTGCAGAAATCTTTCCCAGAAGAAGAAATATTCTATACTTGTAGATGCCCCCTTCACTTAGACTTGGCTTATCTGGCAAAAAGGGCCAGTTGGACACCCCGCGAGATTATCGTCCCCCGGGCAGTCCATCCCCTTCCTCGGCGGGCTGACCTTTTGTGCTTCTGGCTGCTGGCTGCTGGCTGCTGTCACTGCAGTTGCGACTCATCCCCTGACACTTGCGGGCCATTAATAACGCCAAATTACAAAAAAAAAAAAAAAAAAAAATAGAAAAATAAAGAGCTCTAGGAAAAAGGGTATATTGCCAGAGCCGAAGCAAGAAATACCCTTGCCGCTTATCCTTGAGGCTTACGTCTTGTTTGGCTTAGAACCCATAGTCTTAGACCTCTCTTATTATTGGCTGAATTTATCTAATTCAAGATTTCGCAATATGTATGAGTTTCCCCACCATTAAGGTGGATAATATTATATTATAATATATCCAAATTTAACCTAACCTTTTTTTTGACCATATCGGTTTGGGACTAAACACAATTTTGAGTGATTACTTTCACTATTAATATTGTTTGGGCTTTTATTAACACGTTTGGTATTTGGGTAAATGCTGGTCCTCCTTATGCGGCACAATAACATATGTTGTACATAATGAATGAAAATCTTAAAAGTAAATGAAAAAAAAATTAAAATGTTTGGGTTATTTATAAAAGATTTTTGCTATAGGGTGATGTATAGCTTTAAGCCTAGCTTTTTGTGCTAGTTAGGTCTAAATTAAGGGCTGATTTTGTTTGTTCAGTTTACTTTGATAAAAGACAAATCTTTACAGGGACTGTTGTCATACGTTTCACGGATTTGATTTTAATGTAGCAAGCAGATTTGTCAAAAATGGTTGTTAATGCTAGAAGTGCATTATCAACAGCTTTGGTTGCAAGATCATCCGATGACAAACTTCCGACCGAAACTAAAATGCCCTCTACAAGGATATAAGTGCATGGGGTAGCAGGACACTCATTGAAATACAAAGGGTGGAGCGCTAGCGAGTCGAAGGACAGCGTCGCATATGAAATGAGATGGGATGAGTTGGGATGGGATGTCATGGAAGTGGATGGGATGCGCGGAGTGGCTTCAGCGGCAATGGAGGCGACTGGCTCACTGGTTGCTTTGATTGCTTCAAGGACGGACCCGTCATCCCGTTCGTGGATCATTTTCCCGGAACAGAGCCAAGGCGCCCACGCATCCACTTTGAGCACCGCCACCACAGGAAGACAGAGCAATGGATTCTGAGGAGGAGACGGGGGCAAGGGGACAATGGGACAATGGGGCATCTGCGGTCGACTGCCTACCCGCTGACATGGCATTTAGCTGGGGAGCAAACGATGTCGGCCACTGCAGCTGACATCAAAGGCTAAGAGCCATTTCCTGAAATGGAAATGGAAGCAGCGAACGGGAATCTGTAGTGGAGAACATCTGTACGAGTTTCAAACGGGGTTATTTTCGCTCTGAGCAATTGATTCCCAACTCAACTGCTATAAATGGTAAACTAGGTGAAGTATTTCTAGCAAGTGTGTGTATGACATCGGAAAACAATTAAGGACATCAAACTGGTTGGCAAACACTTAAGAAAATATGTTTCCTAGCGAAGTGGCAATTATATCAGTCTGGATTTCGGTTAATACATGTGTTTGACAAAGTTTTTCTTTAAATATACTGATTTGCAAGTCATAAACTCAGTGCCTGCCATAAATAGACTATTAATTGATATGGCAGTTAAATGATATAAAATTTATATTTGGAACAATGTCAGTCAGTTGATGCCGCATTAAAGCAATAAAAAATTACATCCTATTTGCACTTATTGCCTTTATAGGCTTTTACCACGCAAGCAACTCATTATTTTTAGCGTTAAGGCTTGGGCTTAAACATATTCATTGTTCAGAATGTTTCTTTTATGTGATTTTAAAGAGATTTGAACTTATAATACCAACATTAAAAGTTTAGAAAAGTTAAGTGTATTTTTAATGTGATTCAAAGTCAAATATATTATGTTTACAGTCTAACTTTCAAAGCTCGACTGTTGATTTACTAAAACAAAAGGTTTGAGCAAGAGAAAACATTTTTTTTTAAATATTTTATAATTAATTACGCTAATAATATTAATATTTATGCTAATAACTTGATAAATGTTTGTATAAAAGCATATTTTTATAAATTAAAAAGTAAATTGTTTTCACCGTATATAATACCAAAATTGCTCTCTAAAAATTTAACTTATTGATGTAAAAACGTTCGCGGAACAATGATTTGTTTCTACTTATACAGGATGTTCAACATTTCCATTCAGATGGCTTTAAAACTGAGCGATTTGTTTGCGTTGAAACGGACAGACAGACTCGATTAATGTACACATTTGCGGTGTTGAAAACATCTAGTACAACAAGACTAGCCTCTGGCAAGGATTCTAAAAGAAAAAAGCATTTCCGACCACATACATGGTATATTGTCAGCATTAATAACAAAGTAGCCAACAAGTATGTCTATACAGTGGGCAAAATAAGTTTAAGTACACTTTGCAATGTTCGTAAACTTTTTGACCCTCTTCGTACTTGAAATACTTAATACTCCGAAAATGTACGTTTTTTTCTTGAGTGTACAGAATTAGAATACCTTCTGAACCTCTTGTTCAAGGAAGGAATCATTTTCGACCACACAAAGTCGACATGTACATATCTGTTTTTGACCCTCTTCGCACTTGAAATATGTGCATTTTTTTGTCGAGTGTACAAAAGCTCGTTGCAAGGGCAGGCTGGACTTGTTGCGAATATCGATTGGCAGGTCCTTGACTGCCTCCTCTGGCTCCTCTCGTTCCGCCACATCCTGCCATTTTGTGTGCCTCTTGCCCTGACGCCAGTTATCAGTCGAGAGCACTCGGCTCTGGCGACTGAAAGAATACTGATGTGAATGAATGGGTGGCACTCATCTTTCAACGTTGGTCCTTGGTTTTTGGTCCTTGGTTCTCCAATTAATTGCACTCTGGTTCCGATTTCAGGTCAAGTTCAGGGTGCCCCTGCCGCCGGGAGTCAGCTCGACGACGCTCCTGCCCAAGCTCATCCGCACCAAGGACGTGAAGCAGCTGCAGGACGGCAACGCACAGCCACAGAAGCCCAAGCTAACGGTGAGTCGGTCGAGGACTCGGCCTTCGACCTTCGACCTTCGAGTTCATCATTTCTGATCCCCCCTCCCCCAAAATCACCATCACCATCATATTGTCCACACAGAAATGTCTGAACACACTGGACCTGACCTCGCTGGGCATCGGATCGTGCTGCGGCACGGGCATGTACCTGGTGGCCGGCATGGTGGCCCAGAAGATAGCCGGACCCGGAGTGATTATTAGTTTTATTATAGCCGCCATAGCGAGTATTTTCTCAGGTAAGCAATGGCCATGCCCTGCAGCTGACTGATTGAACCAATTCGGGGTTTTTACCGCAGCGAAAAGAGAAACATTTGAAAATGGTGTCGTGATATTGAAAATTGTATATATGTATCTACTTTGGTCAGACAAATTTCCATAAATGTTTGTTGTGAGTCACAGAAAATCAAATGATTCGTTTCAAACTAAATGTGAATTTTTGTTGATTAGCAAAAAATATCGAGTATATTTTGCTATGGTAAATATTTAAATTAACTCAATGTCAAAACATAACATGACTTTGTAAAATCGAACCTTTAGGAAATAATACACATTTAAATTGACTAAAAAATTAAAGCTTGGGGTGTTTAAGCAGATTTGAATTTTAGAAATTTGTTTGTATTGTAAGAAACTGCCAAATTTCAACCTTATTGGACCCACTTAGCAATATGACTTCACCGACTCGTTTCATTCGCTCAGTTGGCCTTCTGAAAGTTGTAGTAACCAAATCTAATCCCATCCGATGATCAACAGGCGCCTGCTATGCGGAGTTTGGCGTTCGTGTGCCACACACATCCGGCTCGGCCTATATGTATTCATATGTGGCGGTTGGAGAGTTCGTAGCTTTTATAATTGGTTGGAACATGATATTGGAATATCTAATAGGTGAGTACTATATACATGCCTTTAAATTCAGCCTTTGGACTCTGATTCTGATTCTGATTCTGAATGCGACAGGAACAAGTGCCTGTGCCTGTGCGTTAAGTTCGAGTTTCGATTCCCTGACCGGCAATGCTATTGCGCGGACGATAAGCGAGTCCATCGGCACGATATTCGGTGAGTATTGCACATAGACTGCGAATTGGGAGTTCTGTCCTAAATCTGAAGTCAAAAATCTGTAGGCAAACCACCGGACTTCATTGCCTTCGGCATCACGCTGCTGATGACCTGCGTCCTGGCGATGGGTGCCAGCAAGTCGGTCATCTTTAACCATTCCCTCAACGCCGTCAACCTGGCCACGTGGGTGTTCGTCATGGCCGCCGGCCTGTTCTACGTGGACACGAAGACGTGGTCCGAGCACCAGGGATTCCTGCCCTACGGCTGGAGTGGAGTGAGTACCATTACAGGCCATTCTGATCTTTTCGAAGTTTTGTATGCTTGATGAAGCTCTGCAGCTCCTAGATCATTAAATCCTGAAATAATTGATTAATGAGTAGCTCATTGCCACAAAACAATAATTGTAATCAAGCTAGCTTTATTTAAACTTAAACAGCTCGAACAGCTCGTAATTAAAATATATTTCAAACTCTTTGGATTAAGACTATTATTTTGAGTATCCGCGTAAACAAAAGCTCGGGATTAAATAACATTTAAAGGTATTGTAGTCCATTGTGGATACTGTTTTCGCGACTCTTGGGCATCATGATATCTTTAGAGATGTATTAGATTCATACACAAGCTGACAAATTTATGACATTTAAATTAAAAAGAGACTTTTACTGATCTGCAGAATTTGCAATACATATTTAAATAAGTTTAAACCAGAACTTGTCTCGATGTCTATCATAGATTAAAAAAAAAAACCAATATTATTAATGATTATATACTCTTTTGATCGGTATGACTTATTATTGCTTAAGAGCTGAATCATTTGTGTGAGCTTATGACTCGAGCTGTATTTTCAAGTATTCTCGTGCAGGACTTCAATGCATAATTCCCAATATTTGTGTAGTAGTAATTCAAACATCACTTTTATGAAACATCATATCCGATTCCTTTGTGCAACAGGTGTTTTCCGGTGCCGCCACCTGTTTCTACGCATTCATCGGTTTCGACATCATCGCGACAACCGGCGAGGAGGCGCACAATCCGCAGAAGAGCATACCCAAGGCGATCGTGGGTTCCCTGGTCGTCGTGCTAATCGCCTACGTTAGCGTTAGTCTAGTCCTAACATTAGTGGGTAAGTGGATCTAAGCGGATTACCGGGACTCAATCTAACAGCACGAACTATTTCTATTGGAGAAAGGAGTGTTAGGTATATCTCTACTCCCATAAAGCCAACTCTTTCGACCAAAGTATTGCAAGTTTGAAATATTTTTGAAATAAACAACTTTAGATTTCGAGCCATTTCTTTCAAAAATTTCAAGACGATCGGATTACCAGTTCAAGTTGTTGATATTAGCAAAATTAAAGTAAATATGTATATAGCACTTGCAAAATATCAATTTAGGAGAAAATAGATCCACTAGAATCATTTTTTGTTGTTTGGGACCAAACTAAGTGATATTTTACGACCCAAAGAGCTATAGTTAAATCCTTATAAGAAAAATGAATAGGTAAATGAAGAATATGGTCCGATTGAAACAATTTTAAATTAAATTACTTAGCTATTTGGCACTGAGGAAGCTTTATATTCAATGTAGAAATATATTTAATTCAATATATATATGCACATATATGTTTCCAATACCATTTGGATCATACATAGTGGCCACAAATTCAATATATATGGATTTAAGTTAATTTAGGTATCGCCATCATAAATTACGCTTTTCAATTTATTAAAATTGGAATTCTAATTGCACATTTTGGGGTTGCTCTAATCGAATCGAATGCTTTCCCTTTTCCCCGATTCCCAGTTCCCTATGATCACATCAACACGGGAGCGGCTCTGGTCCAGATGTGGTCCTACGTGAATGCCCCGAAGTGCCGGGCGGTGGTGGCCGTCGGAGCCACGGCCGGCCTCTCGGTGGCCATGTTTGGCTCCATGTTCCCCATGCCGCGCGTCATCTATGCGATGGCTCAAGACGGGCTGATCTTCAGGTGAGTGAATGCCGCTTTCTCGTCCTCTTTCCGTTTCCGTTTCCGATGTCGAACCCAATCCAATACAATCCAATCCAATCCCCTGCAGGCAATTGTCACAGTTGTGGCAACGCACCAACGTGCCCGGACTGGCGACAATTGGCAGCGGACTGGCCGCCGCCCTGGTGGCGCTCACCGTGCGCCTGGAGATCCTCGTCGAGATGATGTCCATTGGCACGCTGCTGGCCTACACGCTGGTGTCCACCTGCGTCCTGGTGCTGCGCTACCAGCCGCACAGCACCTCGCTGGTGGAGCTGCTGCCGGCCCAGCTGCGCACCCCGGTGGCGCCCGGAACGGCCAGCGACTCCCGCTCCCATGTGACGCCCGCCGAGGTGCTCGAGGTGCCCGGCAAGCTAACGATCAAGCGTGTCACGCGCGGCATGTCCGACTCGGACGACTCATTCATCGACGACAGCCCCGAGGGATTCTTGGGCGGGCGCGACGACCAGTTCCTTGTGTCCGACCGCTCCGAGAACAAGTTCTATGGCAGTGTGCACGGCGCACCCACCGGACCCACCGGCCAGGCGACCGCCTTCGATGCCATGGGTCTGAACTTTGTCACCCGGAAGATCCACGATTATGCGTACCTGTGCCCCGGCTTCTTCCCCTGGATCAATCCCGGTCAGGCCACCGCCGAGAGTGGTACGTATCCGAAGAGTCCCCTTTTCCGTTTCCGTTTCCGTTCTCGTTCCCTTTCCCGTTCCCGTAGTTTCTTAGTCTTGGGTCAATTGAGCTGCTCAGTGGGTGGACAAAGTCGATTTGTTCACATGCACTTAGAAAACTTAATTCCTTGATTTTTGGATATTTCCTTTACTTAACCCATTAAATGCCATTTTTTTTGTAATAGATACGTTAAATTAAAAAAAAAAAACAATATTGACCATTTTTATTTGTTTTGTTTTGTACACTTTTATTAAGGATAAAGGATATGGCTTTACGTCAATTGAGCACTTGATATATAATACATTACAAAATAATAAAGGGTTAACGAATCAGGAAAGACCCCAATATTTATTTAATAACAAAATAAGCTTAAAAAAATGATTTAAGGACATTACTTACGATAAACATTTTTAGTTTTTAGTTGCAGTTACTGAATTGCATAGTTAATCATCCTATACCTTAGTTTAACTAGGATAAGGAAGCAATGGAAAGCTTTTTAAACATAGATAAAAGTTATAAAAAAGGGAAACCGATGTGTAAAGTGCATAATATCAATGGAAAACGTGAATAACTTTATTCACCCGCTGAAAGGGAGCAATGTTTACCCAAAACTATTTATGCGCCTTTGGTTCCAGTTAAAGACCCATTTTCACAACAAAATTGCTATTTAAATTGACTCTTTGCTTATGCTTTTCCAATCCAAACCAATCCAATCCGATCAAATCCGATCCGATCCGATCCACCACCGACGCACCACCGATCCATCGACATCGACATCGACATGGGTCCACCAGGCATGTACGTCACCAAGCTAGTGGGCATCATGTTCGGTCTGATATTCTTCCTGGACCTGTTCGCGGCCATTGGGTGGTCCGGTGGCCTCGCCGCCTTCATTTATTTCATTTTGTTTATCGGCATACTTGTGATACTATTGATTATATCGAGGCAGCCGCAGAATAGGTAACACCACGTCGGCGTTTCGTTCGCCGTTCGCCAGTTCAGCACCAGCTAACCCATCATCCCGTCTTCCCATCTCCCTCCCGATCTCGTCCAGGTATGCGCTGGCCTTCCTAACGCCCGGACTCCCGTTCATCCCGGCCATTGCCATCACCGTGAACATCTATCTGATATTCAAGCTGAGCATCCTGACGCTCGTCCGCTTCACCGTGTGGATGTCCCTGGGATTCGTCATGTACTTCTACTACGGCATCACGCACAGCAGCCTGGAGCAGGCCAGCGACGACCTGGAGTTGCATGTCGACTACGTGAGTGTTTCCATTGACTGTGTAATCCCTCCACCTCCTAAGACCTTTGAACGCCCCACCATCCAGAGCAAAAACGTGGACGAGAAGGCCGTGTGGGATCAGCAATCGTACAACCAGACCCACGAGCCCGTCTGGGCCAGCAAGGAGGTGAAGCAGACGTCGAGTAAGTGCATCCTTCGTATTTATTCCACCTCTCGGGTGACAAACAAAAAATTGTGTTAGACCATTAACACTATAGAACTGTGACTTTGCATATATTTTCCTCCTCAAACGAAAGACTTTTAAAAAATAAATCGCTAGTCTTTTCTTTCTTTTGGAAATTGTTCACCCAATAACAATAAAAATAAACGGTGATATTACGTATACATAACACTGTAGCCAACATGGCGGATGGGTAATTTGTTGTATTAAAACAAGAAGGAAGCAAAGTTCGGTAAACCGAAGTTTATATGCCCTTGCAGATTTTACATAAATAAAAACTCTATTAATAACAAGGAAGCTATTTCACCTATATGATAATACTGTACGGTTTTTATAAAACTAAAACCGTAATCCTTAAATATAAAGACATCAGTATATCTCGAAATATATTCTTATAAAAACAACGAATTTATAATTTGTTTTCATTTTATTTTTCCGATTGTTCCCGTGGAATATAAGCGCCCTATCCGCCTTATAGATCATACTACCTGCAATAGAAAGAATTGTGGAGTGAATTTTGTCAGACTTAGAAAAACATTTATTACTCTAAATATTTGAGATTTGTAGGATCCTCCATGTAACACCAATATATTTTTATATAATAGATTGCAAAATCATCTGATAAGTTTTGTCCATAGTCGCTAGCCTTCTTTTCCGAAAACTACTTATTACTCATTTCTTTGTGTCCAGCAGAGCAACGCTATAACTACGGAAAGACCGCGTCGTCCTCCTCGTCGGCACAGGGCACCTCGAGGAGTGGCGGCCAGGGCAGTGGGGCGGAGAAGCCATCGGGCAGGAGCACCGCGGGCCCCAGCCGACCAGTGCCACCTCCCCCGATCCCTGGTCAGACGAGGGGATCGGGATCGGGATCGGGCTCGGGCAGCAATCCACCGATGGAACGCCAGTACACCGGCCAGTTCAGCATGTTCGTGGACGAGGGCCAGTTTCCCTCGTGGGAGGACTAAGCGACACCATCTGCACAGCTCCCAGTCCGTTGCCCACACCGACCTCCCCGCTGATTCCCGAGTGAAGCTCCACCCACGAAGGACTTTGATCCCGAAACCGCGATTCCGCCGGGTGCAGCTCACTCACTTGTAAATACAACTAGAGATGTTAAGTTTAACCATATGGCAAAGTGTGTCGTTACCGTTTTGCAGATGCATACCATATACAAGGCATGTGTCGTGGGCGGCGGAGGCACTGTTCACTGCACTCCGGCCGAACCCAGCGAGGTCACCATTATACACCTATACCATATACCATATACCATATACAATACATAATATATACACATATATATATATATATATTGATTATACAAGAAAGTATATATATTTACATATATAGCGATGGGTTATTAGTTCAGCAAAGAGTTACAGTGCAAAGTTGCCGAGTTCCAATTAACCGAACCGAACCCTGATGCAAACCGACCGATTAGCGATAGACGATAAGCGAAATCACGCAGACAGCAGATAACCAATAACTGATAGCCGATAACCGATGATCGATTGTGCTCAACTCCGATTGGCAGGCGTTTTGGGTGACGTTGGTCAATCGGCCTTCAGCACAGGAATCGGGAAGGCAAACACCATACACCAATCCTGAGCATATTTCTGAGGGAAGGCAGATATATCCGGCAGTGAGGTGGGTGTCGGGGTGGTAACGTGCACAACTGTACATTTTAGGCACCATCACCCCCACACTCACACTCACACCCACATACACATCAACATCCATATCCACATCCACATCCACATCCACATCCACATCCATAAGAGACAAACGGAAAACCCTAGACTTGTGAAAAGATCCCCGGAAGAGATCGGAGGAGACCTTTCGTAACCCCAAATGATACAGGCCCTCTGAACCAAGACGATCTTTGCATAACGTTGGGATTTGCTCACACACACAGAGACTCTCACCTGACGATCTAAAACACGATCCTTTTGTACCTATGTATGATTCTATTGTTGTTTACCTATTTATGCTATGCATTTTATACGGCGCTTGGCCGAGACAGTACTGTACAGTACAGTACGCTCTGCCTACGGCCATACCGTCTCACTCACTCTATCGGAATGTTATTTGTTTTTTATTCTAGAAGCTCGCGCTAAGCTAAAACTCATTTTTAAGCGGCATTTCGCGTTCGTTGTAATACAATTCATTTTACTAATGGAATACCAAGCAAAAATTATACAAATATGCATATATATTTAAAAAATTACCATATAGACAAATACCAAAGAATACCAAATATTTATTGAACTATTCAAACTTAAACCAAGAATTAAACCAAAGCAAGCATAACTACAAATATGTATAAACACAATGATAACTTAAACCAAAAGCAAATATGATAACGAAAACATTTATGTACAAGCATACTTTTTTCCACTTTATATACATACTATGTACAAGCAAACACTGCATAACTATTTTTAGCTAAATTACAAGTATATGGCAAAGTTAAAGCAAAATCGACCTTTTTAATAATAATAATACTTATGATAATTTATTCCTTTTGTACTTAACGACTTTGTACAGGAAAGATTCCGAATAGCGAATATCAAGGATTGCAACAAGAACTCAATAACCTAGGGCTAGCTTCCGATCTAGCCCCGAAACAGAGAAAAACACTATTTATATACAACCGTACCGTCTAAGACATTCGATGGTTTGTTTTTGACTGATTTCGTTCGATTCCATTCGGTTGATCAGTTAAATTTCGAGTGCCAAATCAATGCACCCTGCACTCCTCGAACCAGTAGCCGAAAACTTAAAACAAAACTAGTTCCATGTTTCACTCACTATATTACTATATATGTATGTATTAGGGTTTTCGAAGAGGACCTTTTTGGACCAACTACTTAAGACATAGTGCCACCCAACTGGTCCCGCACCAAGTAATATGTATTCTAACTTTCTAATTTGTTCGAAAACTCAAACCAAATACGTTTTGTACATACACAACTATACAGGCAGGCAACAAGAACAGTGCGAAGGTATATTTTTATGAAAAAGACACAACAAAGAAGCAACTAAACGAAGGAAACGAAACTCAGATACAAAAGTAATAACTAAAGAACAACATATCCTACCACACAGCTTAAAGTTGAGACGTAAATCTAACGGAACTCACCGAGTCCACATTCAACCGATAGTTTCGATAACCGATCACTAATTTCCGATAACAACAGTCCCATTCCAAGTTTTTTTCCATTACCATGTTGGGTCAAACTACTTATTCAAACTGATACTCGCTTTCTTATGCGGACTAGAGTTTTTTGGCCAGTGAAGGAGAATTATCCCAACTATCGGTTGAGTGTGCGCTCAGAGGAGTTTCACCCGTACTTATGTCATACGCAAGTGACAAAAGTTACAGTTCAGGCAATCCAGTAACTGCGGGCTGAAGCAGCTTGCTCTTCCACCTTTCGGTTCTTTCGGTACCACCAAGTTAAGATAAATGTTATGGGAATATGATAGTTTTAATAGATTTTCTACAGTTCCAATTAAATGCGAATAACAACCAAGTCAACATAACATGCAATATATCGATAAGTGTAAAGGAAAAAAAAACCAAAAGCTTCCTTTAACAACAAGTATGCATTTTACTAAGACATATTATTTCCAAACTTGTATAATCCCTTAAACGGAGAATAAAAACATAAGCCAACAATGGACACAAACGTACCCTAATGTCTCTATGCCCACTGTGACTGCAACTGCAACTGCAATTCAAACAGCAAACAGTATGACACCAGTATCAGAATGAGAAATCCCCAAAATCCCCAAAGGCGGAAGCAATCGCACTTACAAACACGCATAGACATGCACACAAAAAGCAACAGAACAACAATAAGAACAGCAATAAAAGAAACCACGATTGAAGAGAATTTAAATTCCGAAAGCGAAGCAGACCTTTTACTTAAGAGCCAAGCCTAAATATAAAAAAAAAACTGAAAATAAGCCATACTTATTTGTTTAGTTGATTGGAAAAGCGTTTAGACGATTGTTTCTTTATTAATTGATTTTCCAGCTGAATATAACGTACCTAAGTTTCTGTTTATTTCATAAGACTGAATTACTGGAATATGATTTATTTTAAACGTGTATATAATTAAGGTGTAATAGCAAACTTTACAACTTTTACTAATGAAGCATCAAAATTTTTGAAATTATTCTGAACTCATTTATTAAAAAATTAAAAAAAAAAAAAGACAAAAGTGAGGAGATGAAACGAGAAAAAAAGTGATGAGAAAGTCGAGAGCGAATGAAGTTAATATGCAACTATTAATATATAACATATATGGGAATATCCCGAGATGATGAGTATATATATATATATATATATATATTTCAATGGATCGATAACAAAACAAAACAGCAAACCAAAGTGAAATGATGTTAAAATATAAGAAAAACAAAACTTTTTTAATTCAAATACTACTCTTGATTTGTTTTCTGTGTTAATAACTTATTAAATGATATTTCTTGAGAATATTAAAAAATAAAATTGTTAGGATATTCAATTTTGGACTTTTTCATGGTGGAATCTTGAAATAAACTCAGTCCAGTACATATTTTAATCCTAGTCTCCTTGGAACTTCTCACCACCGACTTTGGCGTATGGGTGAGCCTGGTTTTATTTTGCTTTAGTTATTCCCTCGATTGCTTAAAATCTGTGCTGAACTTTTAGCAGTTCAAATTATTTAACCAGAATTTTTCATGTCCTATGATTATATGCCTAAATGTTTAAAACCAGTAGGAAAATCTTTTACTTAGTGGAATCCGGCTATAAGACACAACTCTAGTTTGAAAAGCCAATTATCTGTGTTTTGAACTATCGAAATATCGATTTTTCGATGTTTTTTTCCCTGACTGAGTAAAAATACCAAATGCGGTAGTATTTGCGAGAGCGCTCCGGTCAAGTCACTCCCCCGGCAAACGGTCGCACTAATTACGCAGAGAGGAAAAGCTAACAATTTTTTCAGTGCCCGAAAACTAATCATTTAAAAGGTAATTAAACGTGGTGAGCTCAGTTTGGAGAAGTCTCTGGCAGATGGAATAGCTGGCACCTGTTTTTGCCCATTCATTTGTAAGCCATTCCCGAAATTCAGCTCCCTTTTTGAGACGTGTTCAAGCTGCGGATACGCGATACGGGCGTGTGTGTGTGTGTTTGTGTGTGTGTGTGTTGGTATTCGTATTCGGTTGAATCTGTGACAGCGCCCACAAACGCCCCCCAAAAGAAAGGGGATTATTGCAATCAATAATCAAAATCACTTTTGCACATCTCACGCTCCCCATTCCGGGTTTGATCCACAATCCACAGAGTTAGTTTGCAGCGAGGAGCAGAGCAGCATCCACCACGATGACCGATTCCAAGTACTTCACCACCACCAAGAAGGGCGAGATCTTCGAACTGAAGTCGGAGCTGAACAACGACAAGAAGGAGAAGAAGAAGGAGGCGGTGAAGAAGGTGATCGCCAGCATGACGGTGGGCAAGGACGTGTCCGCTCTCTTCCCGGACGTGGTCAACTGCATGCAGACGGACAATCTGGAGCTGAAGAAGCTGGTCTACCTCTATCTGATGAACTACGCCAAGTCGCAGCCGGACATGGCCATTATGGCGGTGAACACGTTCGTAAAGGACTGCGAGGACTCGAATCCATTGATACGGGCACTGGCCGTGCGCACCATGGGCTGCATCCGGGTGGACAAGATCACCGAATACTTGTGCGAGCCGCTGCGCAAGTGCCTCAAGGATGAGGATCCCTATGTGCGCAAGACGGCCGCCGTGTGCGTGGCCAAGCTGTACGACATCTCCGCCACGATGGTGGAGGACCAGGGCTTTCTCGATCAGCTAAAGGACCTGCTGTCCGACTCAAATCCCATGGTGGTGGCCAACGCGGTGGCCGCGCTCAGCGAGATCAACGAGGCCAGCCAGTCCGGCCAGCCGCTGGTGGAGATGAACTCGGTGACCATCAACAAGCTGCTGACGGCCCTCAACGAGTGCACCGAATGGGGCCAGGTCTTCATCCTCGACTCGCTGGCCAACTACAGTCCCAAGGATGAGCGCGAGGCGCAGTCCATTTGCGAGCGTATCACCCCGCGACTGGCCCACGCCAATGCGGCCGTTGTCCTCAGCGCCGTCAAGGTGCTGATGAAGCTGCTCGAGATGCTCTCCAGCGACAGCGACTTCTGCGCCACGCTCACCAAGAAGCTGGCTCCGCCACTGGTCACGTTGCTCTCCTCGGAGCCGGAGGTGCAGTACGTGGCGTTGCGCAACATCAATCTGATCGTCCAGAAGCGGCCGGACATCCTCAAGCACGAGATGAAGGTGTTCTTCGTCAAGTACAATGACCCCATTTACGTGAAGCTGGAGAAGCTGGACATCATGATCCGGCTGGCCAACCAGAGCAATATCGCCCAGGTGCTCAGCGAGCTGAAGGAGTACGCCACCGAGGTGGACGTGGACTTTGTACGCAAGGCAGTGCGTGCCATCGGTCGGTGTGCCATCAAGGTGGAGCCCTCGGCGGAGCGGTGTGTCTCCACGCTGCTGGATCTGATCCAGACCAAGGTCAACTACGTGGTGCAGGAGGCCATTGTGGTCATCAAGGACATATTCCGCAAGTACCCCAACAAGTACGAGAGCATCATCAGCACGCTCTGCGAGAACCTGGACACTCTCGACGAGCCGGAGGCACGCGCATCGATGGTGTGGATCATTGGCGAGTACGCGGAGCGCATTGACAATGCCGATGAGCTGCTCGACAGCTTCCTCGAGGGCTTTCAGGTGGGTTCATGGCTTTGTAAGCCATTGCCATTGTCTTGCCAACAAGTCTTTAACGTTCTTCAATCTTTCCAGGATGAGAACGCGCAGGTGCAGCTACAGCTGCTCACCGCCGTGGTCAAGCTGTTCCTCAAGCGTCCCTCAGACACCCAGGAGCTGGTGCAGCATGTACTCTCGCTGGCCACCCAGGATTCGGACAATCCCGATCTGCGCGACCGCGGCTTCATCTACTGGCGCCTGCTGTCCACGGACCCGGCCGCCGCCAAGGAGGTGGTGCTGGCCGACAAGCCGCTCATCTCGGAGGAGACCGATCTCCTAGAGCCGACGCTGCTGGACGAGCTCATCTGTCACATCAGCTCGCTGGCCAGCGTGTACCACAAGCCGCCGACCGCGTTTGTAGAGGGTCGCGGTGCCGGAGTGCGCAAGTCGCTGCCCAACCGTGCCGCCGGATCCGGAGCTGGTGGCGAGCAGCCAGAGAGCGGCGCCGGCTCAGAGGCCATGGTCATACCGAACCAGGAGTCGCTAATCGGCGACCTGCTCTCCATGGACATCAATGCACCCGCCATGCCATCCGCGCCAGCGGCCACCAGCAATGTGGACCTGCTGGGCGGCGGCCTGGACATCCTACTGGGTGGACCGCCGGCGGAGGCTGCACCCGGCGGCGCCTCCAGCTTGCTGGGCGACATTTTCGGTCTGGGCGGCGCCTCGCTGTCGGCGGGCGTGCAGATCCCCAAGGTCACGTGGCTGCCGGCGGAGAAGGGCAAGGGCCTTGAGATCCAGGGCACGTTCTCGCGTCGCAACGGTGAGGTGTTCATGGACATGACCCTGACCAACAAGGCCATGCAACCGATGACCAACTTCGCCATCCAGCTGAACAAGAACAGCTTCGGTCTTGTGCCCGCCACGCCCATGCAGGCGGCGCCCCTCCCGCCCAATCAGTCCATCGAGGTGAGCATGGCGCTGGGCACCAACGGACCCATCCAGCGCATGGAGCCGCTCAACAACCTGCAGGTGGCCGTGAAGAACAACATCGATATATTCTATTTCGCCTGCCTGGTGCACGGCAACGTGCTGTTCGCCGAGGACGGGCAGCTGGACAAACGGGTCTTCCTTAACACCTGGAAGGAGATACCCGCCGCCAATGAGCTGCAGTATAGTTTGAGCGGCGTCATCGGCACCACCGACGGCATCGCCTCCAAGATGACCACCAACAATATCTTCACCATCGCCAAGCGCAACGTTGAGGGCCAGGACATGCTCTACCAGTCCCTCAAGTTGACCAACAGCATTTGGGTGCTGCTGGAGCTGAAGCTACAGCCGGGCAATCCGGACGCCACACTCAGCCTCAAATCGCGCTCTGTGGAGGTGGCCAACATAATCTTCGCCGCCTACGAGGCCATCATTCGCTCCCCGTAAGCGTGCCACTCACCCGGGAAAACCAGGATGGAACGTCGGACGGTCGGTGGACGAGGAGCACAAAGCAATCGGAGCGATCAGTTAATGAGGAAACCGTGTTGAAGATTAGCTCAACCATAAATTGTAATTTACGTATTATTACTACTATTGTTTATTGGCGACTTACATACGCCACTTACATACATTATTTATGCATATGCACATATGTAAACCAAACCAATCAAGTTTGTCGCGAGAACTGTTAATTGTTAATTGGCGATGCATGTCCTCGACGTACTGCAACGTTCAACGAACGGCAGCGAAGGCTGCGACCAAGCCGTTCACGCCGTTGCGTAATCGCATTCCAAAACTCTGTAACCCCCACATGCACGGCATCTATGTATATGTACGTGTCCTAGTAAAATGTATGACATAACACTCTAAACATTTGAGATATTGTTTTCTTTAT